GATTTGATGATTTTTTGGCTACTGCAGGCTCTGGCGTTCTACCAGTGGTGCAACTATTGGCAAGCGAACACAGAGCGCGAGCCCTTGCTCATCAACATGGATGAGTCAAGCCTTGCTTTTCATTGGAGCGGCTTAGCTGGAACAGTTGCGGAGGCAGCAGTGAGTGTGGCGACAGACAAGGCGAAGCTCAGCAGCCGAAGGGCGCGGGTGACGTACCTTTGTTGCATCACGCACGACAGCACAGTGCAACCGTTGCTCCCGCAAGTGTTGCTGGGCAATTCTCGGTCCTTCCCCTTAGAGTTTGTGAAGCAGGCTGCAGAAGTTGAACCGGGCATTACTGTTTGGCGGGAAAAATCCGCTTGGAACTCACACAGGTTGATGCGGAAGTTCCTCCGGTTGCTGTGTGCCCGTTTGGGCGACTTGTTGAAGACGCGCAGCGTGGGCTTATTGCTCGATTTCGCTCCGTGCCATGTGCATGATTCGATTTTTGAATTGGCCCGAAGCGCGGGGCTGCGCTTGTTGTTTGTCCCCCCTGGCATGACGCCACTCCTGCAGCCTTGTGACACCCACTGCTTTGCAGCCTTCAAAAATAACGCCCAAGAGAATTGGAGGGTGAAGAAGAGTGAAGCTGGTGGGCATCCAACTCTGTTGATGTGGTTCCAAGCTGTGGCAGCTGCAGTCCATGACCTTGTTCATAGAAGTTGGGCTCGGGCCTTTGAGAGTGATGGAATTCTGCAGCAACAGCGGAACATGTCAAGTCATTTGTTGAAGCAGCTACACTGGAGTACCGCGCCCCAGGTCCCGCCAGTGTGGCCCAGCGAGGAGGTGGCAACTCTACTCTTTCCGCGCAACTGGTGTGGGAATCGTGCGAAATATATCAGTGGAAACCCTGACGTGTGGTACATTCGTACTTTGAATTAGTTTCACCTCGGACCGCCGAAAAGCTGCAATTGTGCACAGGGGAGGCCATCCAGGGTGGCTCAGAAAAAGTGGGGTGGAAGTGTACCCGGCTTTGGGGGACGTCAAATTGCCAGGAGATGCTACAGGCCGACTTGCAGAAATTGAAGGAGGACAGAAAGAACTTGCGCAAAGCCATCCGCAACAACCAGAAGGAAGCCCGCAAGCAAGCCAAGCGCAAGCAAAGGTTGGTCAAGGCCGTGCTGACCGTTGTGTTTGTGTTTTTGCCGCCGGTCCTAGCTGCAGGCCGCCAAGATGTTGTCGAAGGCAGACCTGGAGCTGTTGATTCGGGCCAAACAGGTGGGTTCCATCTTACCAATGAGTGTGGTCACTTCTTTGCAAGCCAGGGCCAAGAGGCGACGACAGAGGAGAGAACTTTTGAGGTGAAAGTCTGCCAGCTTTTAACGCACGGTCTTTTTGTTTCTTTCCCTGCAGTCGGTGACGTCAGGAGGCTGCAGCCCCACGCGGGATGTCCGGTCAACCAGTCCAGCCCTTGTCCTGTCAAAGTGCGATTGTCTTTGGACACTTTTTGTTTTTGAGGCGGAGAGGCCTTCTGAGTGAGGGTGACGCAATGTGTCAGGATGAGCCGAGGCAGATCTTACAGCGCAGTGCAGGGCACACCCTGCAGCTGCTTCCGTCAGCCCGTAGTCTTGACAATCTGAAAACTTCGGACACAACGAGAGCAGAAACAGCGCTGCACTTGGCGTTTTCTTGAAAAATTTGCTCTAAAAACTTCCGATTCTAGACCGATGCAGCATGACAGAGAGCTAGAATGTCTGTGGACTTGAGGCGAATGCACTGGGGTTTAAGCCATTGTCATTAGCTACAGCCTGAGGTTCGATGCGTGGAGTGGTTGGCCTTGGAAGCGGTCGTCAGCTCAGTATTGTTGACGGGTGCTAGGCGCGGTTGGTGTTTGTTTGTGCCAAGCCGCAGTTTTTTCGACGGCAAGCAGGGTTATGTGACACGTGGGTTTATGTTCTTTGGACCGTAGTGTGGTTCTGCCCGGACCACTTGAAGGGCATGGCAGACGGGGCCAGACATGCAAGAAGGGATGCCATCCGTACTTTGACGCGGCTTGGCCGCAACCTGGCTTCGCCGCTCCGAGTAGACAGAGATTGTGGCAAGGAGACGCTGGAAGCTTTCCTGGCCCAGCTACTTCCTCACTTGGACTCACAACTAGAGCGGACGGAGGCTGAGGAGGCGATCAAGAAGTGGAACGAAAGCGCAGGTGTGTCACTGTTTGTGCCGCAGATTCCACCTTTGCCGCTTGTGGGTCACGATGGAGGTGATCCTCTTCCTGCCGCGCGACGGGTAAGCTGTTGCGACGTTATGTTGACCTTTAACAGCGACTTTGTCCCCCGCGGGACTGCTGTGGCGGATTGGTTCCAGGCGGGCGGAAAGGTGCTGCTGCAAGAGTTTTTGGTGACTCGGAAGTACATTATACACCCCTTTTGAGCTTTGTTTTGTCTTTGAGGGTGTGCGCAA